ATGAAAGTAAGAGTTAATATAGAGGGTGAATACAAAAATCTGGGGAAACCACTAAGATTTTGTCACTAGACTTGTGATATGCTCTCAACACTACTTATGTTTTGACTTGAAATAGCATTTGCTATTACTTACTATGCATCAGAAAGCTGGACAAGGACTAGGGATGAGAGGAGAATTGATGCCTTTGAGCTGTGGTGCTGGACAAGAATATTGAATATACCATGGATTGCTAAGAGAACAAATAGGTTCATGCTACAGAGGATAAGATCAGGCTGCTCCTTGAGGGCAAGGATCCTGATGCTTTGTTTGACATACTTTGGACATGTTGCAAGGAGGGTCCAGTGCTTGGAGAGGGACATCATGCTTGGGAGGGTGGAGGGACAGTGCAAGAGAGGAAGACCCTCAATGAGATGGAGTGACTCAGTGACTGGGGTAATGGGGCTAGGAATTGTCAGAGACAATAAGATTGGTACAGGATAGAGCAAGGGTTTAGGGCTATTGTACATAGGGGTTGCTATGAGTCCCAGGCAACTGGAGAGCACATGACAACAACAGCAACAATGACAACAACAGCAACAATGACAACAACAGCAACGATGATGACAACAACCTAACTCTCAGTCTAGAAAAGGCCAAACTATTTGTTTTTCTGAGTGTTATTGAGGAAATAATGACATGATAAGTAAATTATACAAATGCCTTAGTTATCTAGTACTGCAGTAATAGATACCACAAGTGGATCACTTCAACCAATAGAAAGTTATTCTCTTCCAACGATAGATAGATAGATAGATAGATAGATAGATAGATAGATAGATAGATAGATAGATAGATAGATAAATGTGCATGCCCTGCACGAGATGGTTTTTCTAAGAATTTTAGCCAACATTCAAAGAAGAGCTGTCACCAATTCTACATTAAGTATTTTCAGAAAATAGACTCATTCTATGAAGAAATTCATTCTCTTAAAGTTTAAAAGATTAGAATTTCAAACCCAAGAGTGCCAGCTCTAGGAAAAAGCCCTTTCTTCTGTGACTTCTGAAGGAAGATCTTTGCTTCCCCTGGCATCTGTAAGTCAGGCATTCTTTGGATAGCTTCACATGTCTTAGCCTTCCTTGTTGTCAAGAAGCTTCCTAGTACAGATGCCTCATTCCAAAAGTGTGCACTCCTCTCCTGGTGATCATTTTTGGGGATTCTGAGGTCCCTCTCCCTAGGCTAGATTTCCCAACCTTTGCCTCACAAGACCTTATAAAATAAAAGTGCTACAGGCCACACCCTAGGGAAAATTAATTCTCTTTCATATATCGGGACCCTAGTGCATTTCACCCTTAATTCTTTCAGAAATATTTGGTTTATCAGGTCATGAGGGACTACTTTATCATTAGGTGGTGGTGGTGTGTACCATCAAGTCACAAGTGGCCCATAGCTGACCTTTTAGAAGGTTTTCAAAGACAGTAAACATGACAAGAGGAGATTTCCCATCCCCCTCCAAGAGAGCACCTGGTGGATTTGAACCATGTGCCCTTCAGGTTGACAGTACCCAAAAAAAAAATGGCTGACACTAAACATTTTCAGGAAATACTATATGAACAAGAGCCAATAGTAATGAAGGGAAAAGTTCAAACTTCGCTGAAGTCATTGGCAAAAAATAAGGACCCAGGAATCAACGGGATACCAAATAATTGTATTTCAACTAACAGACGCAGCCCTGGATGTGCTCACCAGTCTATGCTAGGAAATTTGGAGGATAGCTGCCTAGATGACTGATCTCATCCTAGATATTCATTCCAATTCCCGAGAATGGTGATCCAACAGAATGTAGACATTATATATCATTAATGTCACATGCAAGCAAAATACTGCTGAAGATCATTCAAAAACAGCTAGAACAGCACAAAGAAGTTCAAGCAAGATTTAAAAGAGGCATGGCACCAGAGATAACCATCTGATGTCAGATGGATCCTGGTTGAAAGTAAAGAATACCAAAATAGTATCTATGCATTATTGACTCTGCAAATACTATGTGAATTATGAGAAGTTAAGGCTAACACTGAGAAAAATAGGAATCCCAGAACACTAAATCGTGCTCATGTGAAACCTATACCTAGACCAAGAGGCTATTGTGCAGACAGAGGAAGGAAACACTGCATGATTTAAAATTAAGAAAGATGTGTGTCAGAGTTTTATCCTTTCTCCATATCTATCACTCTATATGCTGAGCAAATTATTCAATAAACTGGACTCTAGGAAGAAGAATGTGGCATCAGAATCAGAGGAAGAATCATCAATAAACCTGTGTTATACAGATGACCCAATCTTGCTTGCTAAAATTAAGGACTTGAAGCACTTACAGCAGAATATCAGACACTGCAATATTCAATATGGATTCCATTTCAACATTAACAAAGCAAAAATTCTCACCACTGAACCAATGGCAATATTATGATGGATGAAGAAAAGACTGGAACTGACAATAACTTCATCTTGCTTGGATCCATAATTAACACCCATGGTACTAGCAGTCAGGCATCAGGAGATGTATTGCACTAGGAAAGTCTGAAGTCAGGGATCTCTCCAAATTATTGAGGAACAATGATGTCAATTTGATGACTAAGGTGCACCTGATTCAGACCATAGTCTTTTCAGTCACTTGTTATGCATCAGAGAGCTGGACAATGAATAAGGATGACAGAAGAAGGATTGATGCCTTTGAACTGTGGTGCTGAAGGAGAGCACTGTATATCCAACAAACTGCCAAAAATGATAAACAAATATATCTTGGAGAAGGTAGCCAGAGTGCTCCTTGGAGTCAGGGAAGATAAAGCTTTGTCTCAATTACTTCATGCATGTTGCTAGGAGAGGCTATTCCTTGGAGAGGGACATCAAATTTGGAAAGGGTAGTAAAAGAGAGGAAGACCCCCAACTAGACAGATAGTCATAGTGACTGCCACAATGGGCTAAAGTACGTCAGACATTCTGAAGATAGCACAGGATAGGACAAAGTTCATATCTGTTGTCCATAGGGTCACTATAGGTTATACTTAACTTGATAGCACCTAACAACAACACTACCATCCTCTGTTCATCTGTCTTGTCCAGGTAAGTAAAATCCTTATCTTGAAAAAAAGCTTTTAGACCACTAATAATGTTTGCCCTTTGTTCAAAATATTGTATTGTAAATATTTTTTTCTATTTAAAAAAAAATATTAGTAAGGGTCTTTTTTGGGTTTGGTTTTTTTTTCCCCCAGGAAATTTACTGAATGATTGCAAAGTGTCCACTGGTCATAATACTTGATTCATACATTATTTAGTGCATTATTCTAATTTTTATAATAACTATAAAGAATTATACTTCTATGTACATTGTATGTGTATATTCTGCTTCTGAAATGAGTTTAATTTACGTTCATTCATGAATTTCAAGTAATACCAGTTCAGGTAAAAAATGCTGTAATGTCTTAAATCATTGAGTACGGTTAATGCTTATTCCATCACTCTTAGAGAAATCACTCTATTACTAATTTCATTGAAGTTCAGTGAGATGCTCTGATAGTTTCATTGATGCTTAGAGGTCAATTTTACCCTCTTCAAAAGGTAACCAGTGTGGTTTCCATTTCAGTATGAATAGAAATGAAATAGCATCAGTCAGTAAAATTTCACATATTTCTTTAATATTAATGGAGCTCTCAGGCATAGTCTGTAGATCATTGCAATACTAACCCAAAGGTGTCTGTCTCCTCACTAGTGGATCAAATATATCAGCTACAAGTTGGGAGAAAGATAGGAACTCTCCTTTCTTGTGATTTATAGCTTTAGAATCCCACTGGAGGGTCAGCTATACATACTATATTTCAGTAGCTGAAAATAAGTTACAAATCAGTTGAAAAGACAAAAGTAACAAACTTTCTTAGAATATTCTTTAGAAAATTCTATCAAGGCAGAAAAAATTATTTTAAATATTTTCTTTCTTTATAAAAACAAACCCATTATAATTCCAAATCATAGCAAATAGGAGAAAGTAGAACTGACAGAGAGCAGCCAGGGAATCCAAACCATTGACCTTTTAATCTTTCCATCTAAAATTCATTAATTCTCAAGTCAGTTCAAGGATAAAAGGGTGTTGAAAAGGTTTTTCACTAGGTTGCTAAATCTGGCCTTCTGGCTCCACCAAATTCAAGAAAGTGTTACCATGGAAATAAAAGGTCAAAAAACTTAAGGATAAGACCAACTGATCCCAAACAAAAATCAAGAGCCCAAAAGTTCTGAATTTCAAACAGCTGATGCTATTCTTTGATTTCCCCTAAGAGAATATGGCTCTATTCTCTTCTGCAGCACCAGTTAATTACCCAAAGGACAGAGCAATCCCTGTGATATAAATTTAAAAAATCATATTTTGCCAACTTCCTGATGCCATCTTTGATGCTAAGAAATTAGTTCTCCATTTTTTCCACCTGGAGATATAAGAGCTTCTAAATCTTGTGAAGTCAGCAACAAAATCCTTGGCTTAGGACTTTGTTAGCTCCTGAAATTTTTATACTGGACTAAATGGCAGGTATACAGAAAATTACATCTCTCCATAGTTTAACTACCCTTTGGCAGTTGTTCCATTTTATTCATTTTATCTGAGACAGTGCTGTGCTTCATCACTTTAATCTAATTACAGGAAAGTTAAGTCACATGGCTTTTATAATTCTTCTCTTCTGAAATATAAGGCATAGAGAAGAATTTTGATTGGCCGCCTGGACAGGCTGTTTTTTTGACAAGTTGCTATCTTGCAATCATTTGTATTGCATCTCTAGTGCATCCACTTTGTCACTTTACTGTTACTTTTTTTTCCCCTTGAAAGTCCGTTTTAATTGTCCCATTGCCACAGTGCTTGTCACTTTATTGTAACTTTTTACTAGTATTCACTGTACAATATTTCATAAAATCCCAAGCAACAGTCTAAACCAGAGGGAAAAAAGAATCAGAATGTATTCTCCTATTTCTTTATTTCCAATATGAAGGCTGAAACCAGGTAAGCCTACATGACTAAAGACAATGAAGAAAATTTCCCTTTAGTTTAAGATTGTATATTTCGATGCAGAAAATAAATTTACCAAATGTTCTTATAAAAAAATCTGTTTTTCTATTTGAAAATTCAAATATTTGCAACAGAAAATTAAGCCTTACTCTGCCTTTATTTTCCCCCCAGATTAGAAATATCCCTGAATTGTTTAGATCTTCTAGAAGCATATATATTTTGTGGCATCCACTTAACTAATTTGTTATTTATACTGTGTTATTAATGAGCCTATAGAATGTAAGACTTGAGGTGTTTCTATATTTGTTGTTTTGCTGTTTCATTCTATGTTCTTATTTAAACATTCTGTCTTCTGTTCCAATTATGAGTAATTTTTATTAATTCAGCTTTTTGTTTTCTTAACCATATTAATACTAGTTTTTGTTCTATTCTTTTTAAAATTGCTCTTTATTGTCCTTTTCTCTCTTTCAATTTAACCCTATTGCCACTCTAAAAGCTAATCAGTATTTTGATGTTTCCAAAAGACAAATAAAAGACAAACATAGCTACTGTTGCCAGTTTACTACTAAACAGAATATTCAACCTGACCCTGGAAATACAGACCAAAGAATTCTACTACTTACAAAGAAATAGGTTGTAGAGATCTGAGTTGACAACATTTTCTGGGATCAACAAAAGACAGAAAGACCCTCAGCAAGATGAATTGGCAGTGACTGTAGCAATAGATTCAAGTATGTCAGAAGGGATAAGGATGGCAATAGGACAGGGTTCAGATCTGTTGTTCATAGTTGCTATGAGTTGTACTCAACTTGACAGCATCTAACAACAATAAAAACATATGAACTAAATGTATAGTTATGCTATATTAAGAAAATCATAATAACCCAATTTACGATACTCAATAATTCCTCCACTTTTCAAATCATACCTGGAGTACTGTACTTTGGTTGTGACATTTTCAGAAGGTTATTGTCAATAATGAGAGACTGAAGGATACATGAAAAATGAATCAAAAAACCAAGCCCCTCTCATCAATGAACCCAGAGTTCTGGAGGCCTACTTGTAAGAGTCTGTGCTGCAATCCCAAAAGCACATGGTTCAAATCCACCAGCTGCTCCACAGAAGAACCTCCTCCTGTGTGATTAATTGCTTCTGAAAACGTGCTAGAGGGTTCACTATAGGTTGGTTCTGAACACCAGCACCTCTCAAAATAAAAACCAAACAAACCAAGCCTATTTCAAGACTTGTTTTCGATTCAAGGAGTCATTTTCTAACTCAGGGTGGAACTGTCTCTTGGTTCCTAAGGCTGTACATTTTTACAGAAGCAGACTACCACACTCTTCTCCTGTATGGGTCAGAATCATCAGCTATTCCTTTCAGGTGAATGTTTTAACCACTATGTCACTAGAAAACAAAATAATATAGCAAAAATTTCTTCAGGAAATTTAATTGAATTGTGATAACAGCTTTTTAAAACTCTGCTTACTATCTGTCAATTGAAAAGGGATTAGATGTGATGTATATATAATTACACTGAAATGAAGAATGTTAATTAAAGTGTCTTAAGAATCACAGGAAGGTAATTTATACTTAATAAAAGATAGGTATTATAAGTTAGAATTTTCCAGCAGTGAAATAATTTGCATTTGATGGCCTAGTGTTAAGAAGCTATGCTACCAACTCAAAGGCAGGTGCTTCAAATCCACCAGGTAGGTATGTAACAATATTTTAGCAAATTATGATATTTACAGCTAAGGCAGAAGATTTTATAATGTGAATTACTTGTCAGACCAGTAGTTTATAAGTCCCTTAAAAATCTTAATAGTCAATGGTTTTCCAAAATTATAGATTAAATATTCTTTCTTTTTTCCAACTGTACAGATGATGTGAAAGGAAAGCAATGGAAAAATCCAATGACAGCTCAGAGTATGGCTTTATTTTGGTCGGTTTCTCTGACCGCCCCAAGTTGGAGATGATCCTTTTCATAGTCAATTTTACTCTGTATTCAGTAGCTGTGTTAGGAAATTCAACCATCATCCTTGTGTGTATATTAGATCCTCGCCTTCATACCCCAATGTACTTCTTTCTGGCAAATCTTTCCTTTCTAGATCTTTGCTTCAGTACTAGTTGCATCCCACAGATGCTGGTAAACCTCTGGGGCCCTGATAAGACCATTAGTTATGCTGGCTGTGTTGTCCAACTCTTTTCTTTTCTGTCTGTTGGGGGAATTGAGTGCATCCTTTTGGCTGTCATGGCCTATGACCGCTATGCTGCTGTCTGCAAACCCCTGCACTATATGGTCATTATGCATCCACAGCTGTGCTTAAGATTGGTGGCTGTGGCTTGGGGGAGCGGCCTGGTCAATGCCATTGTCATGTCTCCACTGACAATGACTCTCTCCAGATGTGGTCGACGTCGAGTTAACCATTTCCTCTGTGAAATGCCGGCGCTGATCAAGATGGCTTGTGTGGATGCTCGTGCAGTGGAAATGCTCGCTTTTACCTTCGCCATTCTCATTGTTCTGCTGCCCCTCACCCTTATTCTTATCTCCTATGGCTACATCGCTGCAGCAGTACTGAGGATCAAGTCAGCTGTGGGGCGCCGGAAGGCCTTCAATACCTGCAGCTCCCATCTCACAGTGGTCTCCCTGTTCTATGGGAGCATCATCTATATGTATATGCAGCCAGGAAACAGCTCTTCCCAAGACCAAGGCAAGTTTCTCACACTCTTCTACAACCTGGTGACTCCCATGTTGAATCCACTCATCTATACATTAAGAAATAAGGAAGTGAAGGGAGCACTGAGGAAAGTTTTGGGGAGGCAACAATGAATGTGAGAGTTAAACTATGAAAATCATAGGAAAACTTCCCCCCCCCAGAACCATTCTTTGTTTCATGCTTATAAACTATCTAATGTACAAAACTCTCCTGGATTTTCCCCCCCAATATGGATAAATAGACCAAAGTGTAATTAAATGGAAAAATTACTTTCAGAATCAGCCTAAATAAAATGTTATTATTGTTATGTGCCGTCATGTCACCTACGACTCATAGTGTCCCCATGTACAAACAGCTCTGAAGTCTACCCTGTCCTGAGTCAGTCTCACTAACTATGATACACCTACCCTCATTGCCCCAGTTACTGTATCAATCCATCTCATCCGGCATCTTCCTCTCCTGCACTGTCCTTCCACACTTCTGAGGATGATATCCTTCTCTAAGGACCAGTCCCTCCTGGTCACATGGCCAAAGTATGTGAGATGGAGCTTCAAAATAAGTCTCCAAAGTGAAACTTGGTTTCAACCTCCCCATGACAGACTTATTTGTTTTCTTGGTGGTCTCTAGTATGTTCAAGACTTCTACAGCACCACAACTCAAAGGCATTGATGCTTCTTCTGTCATCCTTAGTCATTGGACTGGCTCAGGTGCTCCTTATTCTCTAGAGTAACATTGTGGTTTCTCAGTATTCTGGAGAGATCCCTGACAGCAGTTTCTCCAGTCCAATTTGTCTTTTGATCTCCTGAATGCTGGTGCCAAGAATGTTGACTTGGGAGCCAAGCAAGCTATAATTGTTAACAATTTCAATGTATTCTCCATTTATGATTGCTGCTAGTTGGTCCAGTGGTGAGAATCATTGTCTTCTTAATGTTGGGCATTAATCCACTTTGAAGACTACAGTCCTTACAGCAAGCTGTTCAGGTTCTCCTCAGATTCAGCAAGCAAGGTTGTGTCATCTGCATGTCATAGGTTGTTGATGAGTCTTCTCCAGTCTGTTCTGCTTATAGATTCAAAAGGTATAGAGACAGGATGCATCCCTGACACACTCCTTTCCTGATTTTTGAACCGTGCAGTGTTTTCTTGCTCTGTTCTGAGGACTGCTTCATGGGTGATGATTACAAAATAACATTTAAGAAAAGACTTAAAGTCCCAAAAGAAAAGTAAAATAATGACTCTCTTAAAGATATAAAATGAACATGAATAAAAGATTTTGTTTAACTCAATAAGGGAGCCATACAAATGTAGTTACTATATTTTTAAAAGTTATGAAAGCACAAATGTATATATAATTAAGGAACATTGAAATGAATGTTCAAATGGAGGTAAAACTTGTTTCTTTCATTGTGGAAGTCCAAAGCCAATTCAGCCTATACCATACAAGACAAAATTTGTATGTAATATACAAGAATAAGGCAACTCTGGTGGCCTAGAGGTAAGTAACTACCATCCCAACGGCACATGATTTGGATCCATTGGCTGCTCCACAGGAGAAAGATGGGCAATTTTCCAGTGCAATTTATTGCCTCTGAAAACCCTCTGAAGAGTCATCTAGAGTTTGTTTTGACTCAACACAATAATAGCGTGTACTTTATTAGGGGGTTCTGGAGGCTTAGTGGGTAAGGAACTACACTGACACAAGTAAAGGTAAGCTGTTTGAATACACCAGCTGCTACAAAGGAGAAAGATGAGTAATTCTATTCGTTTGGGATTAACAGCCTCTGAAAACCCTCTGGAGGGTCAGTTATAGGTCAATTCTGACCCCAAAGCAATGAATTAGAGTTTAATATGTTTTATTGTGTTATTTTAAAAGTATACAGTCTGAAGCTTCTCCCAAAAAGATACAGGTATCTATATTCTGATGTTTCAAATGGTTGGAGTATGGCTTATAGATCCCATTTAACTGAGCGCAGGTCACACAGTAAACAAGTGAGATGCAAAAGTGATTATGCCTGATCATTTCCCATTACCCACTTCCTCTCCTATAAAACTTACAGGATATTTTCAAGTCATTTAAGAACCTGTCCTAGGTGGCAGTGGTAGTACAGTGCTGAAATTCTTTCCTTCCCCTTGTTTGATTCCAGACCAATTCACTTAAAATTCAATCCCACCCATCCATCAGTAGAAGTGTGTGTTGTTATGATGCTGAAAAGGTTTCAGTGGAGCTTGTAGACTGAGATGAACTAGAAGAAAAACCTGTGATCTACTGGAGAAATTTGTCAATAGCTATTACAACCTTGTAGATCATAACAGCCCAAAGTTAGTGACCCACTGACTCAGTATTGTCATGAGTCATCCAGTTAACACAAACCACAGTCACCTTTAGGTTTATTTCTTTCATCTGCTTTTACAACACATCAAGCTTGTTGGGTATGTTATGTTGTTGTTGTTATTTTTAAGTATCACTGAGTCGACTACAACTCAGAGCAATCCTATGAACAATGAATCTGAACCTTGCTCTATTCTTTGTCATCCTCCTTATCTCTGATATATGTGAGACCATTGTTGCAGTCACTGTATCAATATATCTCATTGAGAGTCTCCTCTTTGCCTGATGCTCCACCTTTCCAAGTATTATATCTTTTTCCAAAGACTTATTGTTGCTATGTGCCGTTGAGTCAACTATGACTTATAACTACCCTATGTACAACAGCCCCAAACCCTGCTCTATCTTGAGCCAATTTTATTGTCTCTGACACACCTATCCCATTTCCCCAGTCACTGAGTCAATCCATCTTATCAAGGGTATTTCTGTCCAAAGACTGGCCCCTTGTAAAAATAAGCCCCAAATATGTGAGACAAAGCTTTATCCTGGCCTGCTTCGACTGCACTTTCTCCAAGACATACTTGTTTGTTCTTTTGAAAGTTCATTCATTTTTCTTCATAGTGTCCAACTTCTCAAATAATTTCTTTGGCATACAGATTGAATAGGTATGGAGAGAGAATACAATCCTGATACACTCCCTTCTTAATTTTAAACCATGCAGTGTTCCCCTGCTCTGTTAACACAACAGCCTCCTGGTTCAGGTACCTCGGGCCTTATGTGAAGATTAATTTGCTATTAGAGTTTGTTGTGCTTCGGGAGAACATCGTTCTAAGTGGTACAGCACTGTACGTCAGCTTGCTGTGGGTTGCTGTGATGTCAAACCCTATACCACTGGTGTGTCAAATGTCATAAGGGTTGCCCATGGTGGACAGGTTTTAGTAGAGCTCCAGATTAAGACAGACTGGGAAGTAGGATTGGCCATTCACTTCTTATATAACAGGCCTTTGAAAACCCTATGTACACTAAATGAATGCAGATAGAGCTATTAAGTGGGTTCAAATCACCAACTTTTAGTTGGCAGGAGGCCAATGAGTATTTAATTATTGCACCAAAGTTGTTTTTGCTGTGTACAATAGATGCATCAAATGTGATAATGGTTCCCCACGGTGGACAGTGTTTGGTGATCTCCCCAATTAAACAAGCTTGGAAGCAGAATTGGCATCCACTTCCAAAAGAGCTTGCCTCTGGAAACTCTATGAACTTGGAGAAATGATGAAAGTTATACAAATGTTCAGGTCTTTCGTTCATATGGTCACTATGAGTCGACTACGACTCAATGGCACTTAACAACAACAACCATTGAGTCACAAAAACAACAACAACACAACTATCAAGTCAGAACCAACCCATAGCTGACCTTCTGGTGGGTTTTCAGAGATAGTTAATCACACAGGAGAAGATTGCCCATCCCTCTCCCATGGAGCGGCTTGTGGCCTCAAACCATGTCCTTTCAGGATTGCAGTGCAGCTTCCTGCCACTAGACCACCAGAACTCCCTATTGCACTAATAAGATTATTAAAATGACTTTTATATAGTAATAAATCATTAATAGATTGGAGTGGTTATTTCTCTTAAGTGATTAATTACATTCAGAAATGTATTACTTCATTTTTAACTGATGTTACAGTCTAATTGTTAATTTTATAAAAAAATCACAAGAAAATATATATACATAATATATATATCTTAGCTTAAATTTACTTTAAATATTACAAACATTATTCTCAATTTAATATAAATTCTACAATGATAGATAAAAATAAAGTCATTAAAGACTATTGGTATTAAAAGTCATTCTTATCTGTTTGGAACAAAACTATATTTTACTAAATGTAAACATAAACATATTGTTGTTGTTGTTGTTGTTGTTGTTAAGTGCCATCGAGTCGTAGGTTTCTCATAGCGACCCTATGAACGAAAGTCCTCTACACTTGCATGAGTGACTTTCATCTTTTCTCCAGGTTCATAGGGTTTCTGGAGGCAAGCTATTTACGGAAGTAGATGCCACTCCTGCTTCCAAGCTTGTTTCAACTGGGGAGCACCACCAAACACTGTCCACCATGGGAACCATTATCGCACTTGACACATCAGTTTCACAGTGTTCAGCTTCACAGTAGCCACAAGTTACCTCTGTATGGCAACTGGACACACCAGGGCTATACGACCTAGAAGACTGTTTGAACATAAACCTAAGGAAATTATTATGAAATCCTAAATGGTATAGAGTCTGCTTCCTTGGAGAAGACTAAATAGTAACACAGTTCATTATTTGAGTAAACTTCTTTGCACTAACATAAGAAAAAGTATTTCTCTCTTCTTTAAAATTAATTTCTTACATGCAATACCCTCTTTGTCAGTAGTTCATTACTCTTTGTTATTCATTTTTCATTCTTAATGAAGCATTAAAACCAGTGAAAATATTCTTTAAAAGCCTCTTAATCTGAGTGGAATAATACACATTTATCTAATCACAGATACAAGAGTAACTTAGCGCACACCTTTCTGAAAGTCAATGGAAATTATTGTATTTATATAACACCAAATTCTGGTTCAAAATCAAGAAAGGAGTGCATCAGGAAGCCATCTTGTCTCCATACCTTTTCAATCTATATGCAGAACAGATCATTCAGGAGGCTGCACTTTATCAGGAATGTGGCATCAGGATTGTAGGAAGACTCACAGCAACCTGTGTTATGCAGATGATACAACCTTGCTTGTTCAGACTGAAGA